CTGTTCCTCAGGACACAGTCGTGACAAGAAATGAGCCGATTCTTGCCAGAGTCACATTCCTTCAGGTGACACAATCACTGAACATAATAATAATCCAGGGTTCAGTGCAGTCGTGTTTAATAAAAGCATCCACCTGCCGCCCAACTCACCAACCACACAGCCCAGGTATAAAGAGGAGCAGAGCCAGAGAAGAGTCAGAAGAGCCGACAGGAGCAGACAGGAGCAGACAGGAGCAGGATGATGAAGACGTCTGTGAAGCTCTTGACTCTGGTGGCTCTGTTCATCTGCGTCCACTCAGGTATTTGTGGGATTTAAATTTGGGTTTAGACACATTTAAGTCAAGTTACGTTCAGACGGGTTTGTGTAAATTATGTCTTGTTTTAGTCCTGATTTAGTCCTGGTTTAGTCTTGCTTTAGTCCGTCTTTTATTCCTTCTTTAGTCTTGTTTTTAGAACTTGTTTAGTCTTGTTTTAGTCTGTCTTTACTCCTTCTTTACTACTGCTTTAAACAAGGTCTAAACAAGACCTTGTTTAGTCCTTGTTTAGTCTTGTTTTAGACCTTGTTTAGGTCCTGCTTTAGTCTTACATTGTCTTCGTGTCAAAACTGACCTGTTTTCAGGTTTAGGTTTGTAAAAACGACCATTTTCTTTTTTGTACTGAAACGACGCTTCATCTAATCCTCAGACACAATTATTTTAACACAACAAAATACATTTTCACCATTTTAGTAAATTTTAAAGGTCCCAAAAAAATATGACCCGACAGAGAAGAGAGAGAATAGTGTCTGTTGTGAGCGTCACTTAAAAGCTGTGGGTCACTCTGTGTGATTTAAAATTTTAGACATGTTTAAGTCTTGTTATGTTCAGACGAGTTTGTGTAAACTATCCTATTTTGTCCTGTTTTAGTCCTGTTTTTTAGTCCTTGTTTTAGTTTTAGTCTGCTTTAGTCCTGTTTTAGTCCTGTTTTAGTCCTTGTTGAACCTGGTCTGGTCTCTTGCAGCTGCTGGTCTGCAGTGCCGGTCCTGTGGAGGTTCTTCGTGTTCTTCTCAGACGTCACAGATCTGCTCGTCGGGACAGAGCCAGTGTGTCTCCAGGACTTATGCCGGTAACTGCACATTTCTCACGTACAGCTCTTTATGTGAACGGACTGTGAGTTTTAGCAACAGTGTTTTATGAGACGCTCCGACCAGATTCTAGTTCAGGAAGCTGGTTTCCGTCTGCAGCACGTTCAAGTTTAGACAGCAGATCCTGTGCTTCCAGATCATGAAGAACTCGAATAATCCCAGACTTGGTTAAAGGGAGACACTGTTTCAGATGATCTTCTCCAGACAAACAAAGATCTGTGTCTGTGATTCTGTCAGTGGTTCTTCTCACGCTGCTGGAGCTGCTGCAGGACGGAGGGACCAGCCTCTTTTCTCATCACATCCTCTAAGTTTATCAGCAAATCTAAATACATTCGTCCACACTCGTATTTTTCACATGTTTACGCACTTTTGGCAGAGAAGGTGCTCAGTTATCACAGTGAGACACGTGTCCTCTGCTCTCGGCCAATCGTGCACCTGGTCTCCTCTGGGTGCACCTGGACTCCTCCGGGTGCACCTGGTGCTCGGGTCTTTGGTCGTCTTGTTTTTCACAGTTTATGTGTGAAAGTCTCTGGTTTTGTCCTGTGACAGTCAGTAGGTCATGGACTCTGCAGCTGCACCCAAACCTGTTCCACCAGGTAACGCCAAGTAATTAACTGAATACACAAGATTTAATTTGTACTTTCTGTAAAAACACAAAACATAAGACAGTGAGTTCTTTCATAGCAAGAAGTACATTCCTTCAGCTGACATCATCAGTGAACAGGTTTTGATGATAAAGGTGAGAGCAGAGCGTCCACCTGCAGCCCAACAGAACCAGAGAAGAAGAAGAACAGAACCAGAGACTGAAGGAGCTCACTGCTCTCCTGTGATTTACAAAGAAAATCTCTCCCCTCAGATGAGTTTAGAGCTGTTTTTACAGATGTTTCTCAACCACCTGTGATAATACATGCATCCTAAATTTCAAACTTACAGTCATCGTGTAATTCAAACTGGGAAGGATTTTCATCAAACCTCCATGTTTGTTTTCCCAGTGGGACGTGTCTATTGTCAAAGTCGATCTTTTCAAGTCTTTTGAACCATTTCACTTTTGTTTCTGGTTCTGATATTGTCATATTTTAGTTTTGGGATTCAGACGTCGTAATTCTGTGGTTGTTGGATCCTAAACAGCGGAAAACGACTCGAGAAATGTGTTTGTGAACTCCATAACTGATATAATGACTGCAAACCTCCATTTAAACAGTTTCTCTTCCCAGCGGAATTGAAAAAAAGTGAAAGGTGAAGGTGATGGGCAGGATTGATCCACAGGAAGAACCAAAAAGGAAACATTTGTCTGACTGAGAAATCATCCCAAGTTTACAGAGAACATTTTGTATGTGGAGCCACGACAAAACAAAATCATGATCCTTCGTTCAACCTCGGTAATAATGAATTTAAAAAGTCAACACCAAAGTGAAAGTCTCCAACTGTTCACCAAGAAACACCTGAGTCCACTGTTGTGTCTGAGTGTCAGTGTGATGTTTGTGTGCACTGTTGTGGCATGGTGATGGGGAGTGACGGAGGTGCATTGTGTGCCACTGATGACATGAGTGGGAGTGAGTGAGTGTGTTTTTGAAGTGACTTCACTGAAGTGAGGGGAAGTGAGGAGGAAGGGAAAGATGCAGTCAGTGTCCTGATGAGTGAGTGAGTTCCAGGTGAGGAGGGGAGTGAGGAGGTGCTTTGTCCTGGTGAGGGGAGTGAGGAGGTGCTTTGTCCTGGTGAGGGGAGTGAGGAGGTGCTTTGTCCTGGTGAGGGGCTTTGGGTGAGGGGAGTGAGGAGGAGTGAGGAGTGCTTTGTCCTGGTGAGGAGTGAGGAGGTGCTGTCCTGGTGAGGCTGTTGGCGGGTGGGACAGAGCAGATGGAGGAGGTGGGTGAGATCGGGTGGGGTCAGGTTATAGAGGGACTTGTAGGTGATGAGGACGACCTTGTATTGAATGTGGTGTTTTACGAGGAGCCAGTGGAGTTCAAACACAAATATGTCTCACTTTGTTGAAGTGGCCAAAGAGGCGTGTGGGACTGAATGTGTTTTTTTCAGGTTGTGCTGCACCAGCACCTGCACTGCCCTCTTCAGGAGATTCTTATTTGTTCCTTTTGTGTCTTTAGGCTCCTACGATTATGGAGACTACAATTACACCTACAGCTACACCTATAAAGGCTGTGCTTCTGCTTCAGACTGTACAGCTGCAGGGTCTGAGTTTGTTTCATATAATTATGGCCCCAACACTTATGCTGTAAACACCACGTGCTGCGACACAGACAACTGCAACAACCAGAATCAGCCCAGTGAGTGATTCTCTCTTATCAGCTGATGTTCTGCACTTTGAAAATGTCTCATTTAACACACATTTGTTTTTCAGTTGTGGCGCCCCCTGTTGGTTCTCTGCAGTGCTACAGCTGTGATCCTTCCTCTTATGAATGCACTGCCAATGTGACCTGTAACACCCAGGAGGTGTGTGGACAGGCTGTGGGTGAGTACAGTTCAAAAGATCCACTTCTACTGTTTCATGCACCAGTTCACCAAAATACAACAGGACAAGAGAGACCATCATCATCATGAATGTTGAACTTTCCTGGAGGCCAAAACTCCACCTAAAAACAGACTTTGTCCAATGGTGTGGGCGGTGACCAGGGCTCCTTCCATTCAGCCATGAGTTAGTATAGATCCTGTGGAGATTTATTGATCAGTAAATCAGTCTTTTATCTTAGCTGTTCTTCCCGAGTTTAACAAATTCATTGCCAAAGTTTGCAGTTTGGAACCCTGCGCCTCGCCCCTCACGAACATAATATGAGTTGAGTCACTAAACACTCAAGCACAGTCTCCTCAGGCAGGTACATTGTTTTACTGGAAGAATCAGGACTCCTCTCCAAGTTCACCTCTCCAAGTTCACAAACTTCTTGCTTCTTACACAACCTCCCCAATTCAGCCCGACCTCTGACCTTTCGTTACAGTTGACCAGTATAACCCATCCCGTCCATTTTACGGCTGTGTCTCTGAGAATCTGTGCAACAACACCAACCTGTCACGACAATATTTTGGCTTCAGTACCTCAGTGTCCTGCTGCAACACTTCCCACTGCAACGTCCCAGGTAAGTCCTGGTTCAGTCCTGGTTCAGTCCTGGTTCAGTCCTGGTTCAGTCCTGGTTCAGTCCTGGTCTAACCTGTGTCTCTTTCAGATCTGGGGTTACAGTGTTTGACGTGCACAGACTCGTCATGTTCTTCTCAGCGCTCGGTGACCTGCTCCAAACTCGCCCCCTTCTGTTACACTGATGCCTACGCAGGTACAGTACTGTCCTCTGATTGGTCACTGCATGTCTGAGCCTCTCTCTGATTGGTTGGTACAGGTCTGTAGTGGGCGGGTCTGGCTCTGGTCCACAGTCCAGACCTGGTTCTTGGAGAAGTCTCTTCAGATCTGACCTGTTTCTGTTCTGGTTTCAGGTTATTACAATTATGGAAGCTTCAGCTACAGCCACAGTTGGATTCAAAAAGGCTGTGCTTCATCCTCGGTCTGTACAGCTGCAGGGTCTGAGTATGTTTCTTATGACACTGGCTCCAGGTCTGACCTCAGAAACACCACATGCTGCAACACAGACAACTGCAACGCTCCAAACTTCACCTGTGAGTGCTGCTTCTCATTTTACACAAATAGACTTGGTAGTGGGTTCCTCCAAAGTCACCTCCTTCCAGTCCAAGTGTCCTGCCTCAGCCCAAACAGACGCCTAATGGAACAGGCTTCAGAAGAGAACGAGCAGCAAGAAACATTAAATAAATAATTAATAATTGCAGATAATAAAAAATTGCATTTAAAAATCCCAAACAAACATGTCCAAACTAAAAACCCCATAGACTTTTCTCAAAGGTCCAACTGCTCCTCTTTGTTTCAGCGCCCCCTGTTGGCTCTCTGCAGTGTTACGGCTGTGATCCTTACTCTTATGAATGCACTGCCAATGTGAGCTGTAACACCCAGGAGGTGTGTGGACAGGCTGTGGGTGAGTACAGTTCAAAAGATCCACTTCTACTGTTTCATGCACCAGTTCACCAAAATACAACAGGACAAGAGAGACCATCATCATCATGAATGTTGAACTTTCCTGGAGGCCAAAACTCCGCCTAAAAACAGACTTTGTCCAATGTTGTGGGCGGTGACCAGGGCTCCTTCCATTCAGCCATGAGTTAGTATAAGATCCTGTGGAGATTTATTGATCAGTAAATCTGTCTTTTATCTTAGCTGTTCTTCCGAGTTTAACAAATTCATTGCCAAAGTTTGCAGTTTGGAACCCTGTGCCTCGCCCCTCACGGCATAATATGAGTTGAGTCACTAAACACTCAAGCACAGTCTCCTCAGGCAGGTACATTGTTTTACTGGAAGAATCAGGACTCCTCTCCAAGTTCACCTCTCCAAGTTCAAAACTTCTGCTCTTACACAACCTCCCCATTCAACCCGACCTCTGACCTTTCGTTACAGTTGACCAGTATAACCCATCCCGTCCATTTTACGGCTGTGTCTCTGAGAATCTGTGCAACAACACCAACCTGTCACGACGATATTTAAGCTTCAGTACCTCAGTGTCCTGCTGCAACACTTCCCACTGCAACATCCCAGGTAAGTCCTGGTTCAGTTCCTTCCCACTCTTGACACTACAGTCCCTGACAAAAGTCTTTTCTCTTATCCATTTTGTAGAAACAAAAGTTTATAACCTGACTTTAAATTAATCGATTGGTTTTAGAAATGTCTCATATGA